ACAGAGAAGGTTATCACTGAATGAACCAGTACCACTCGTGTATCGTTCGCATTCTGAATGCTTTAAATTTGCTGATATGCAACGACCGTGAAGGATCGTCATCTTACCAACTGGTGCTATGTGTTTTTCTAGCTGTAGCAACTGTCTGATTTCTCACTGTTATTATTATCATTAATAATTATTATTAGTATATCGTTGTTTAATATCAGTGGCAAATCGATAACAAGCGCATGTATAGAAAATAACACCGCCATTGCGCATAGGCACTTCTGCTTTTTTAAAATCCTCACCATATGATCTTTGGTTGGTCTGTTTTTCACCATTAAGGTAACTAAGTATGGCACAGATAAATGCCGACGGAGGTGGTCACGCGTTTTCATCAGGTCCGATCAATACGAACTGTCATCGCATTCGTTGATCAGATGACTGACATCCAAGTCATTCGCAAAGCAGCAGATTTCGAGCTCCCTACTAGGTTGTTCAGTGGAACTGATCCAGTACTATGGCTCGAAATGTTCGCAAACACGCTGCTTCAGTAGACTTAACTGTAATAACTGTAGCTTATTGTGCAACATGCTGTCGTACAGCGTTGCAAAATTGCTTCGATACGCCTATCATGTAAACCCAGACGTTCAATGGTTTTCGATGAAAATACCGTACGCAAAACTGTCATTGGGTAAATACCGAGGTAAGAAATGGTACTTCGTCAAGCGGGGTGACTGTTTGGTTGTGGTACATTTGTGCTTAAAAAAATTGTATTTTAAGCTTTCAACCCCGTAATAAACAATACATGGTCAGCATGTTGCTGTCTTTCAGCTTCCATTTGTATTGTCTCTGACGATGGACACTGTTCATACTGTCTAAAGCATCGGTTTTTCTGATTATGATGTGTACGAGAGAGAAACGTTTCCCGTCGATGGAAATATCTCTGGACATTTAATCGACAAGAACTCCAAAAAAGATAATTGGTTTCAACTTTAAAAAATAAACCTGAAATATTAATGATCGGCATATGATATCCATTAAAGTTGCACTCATGAGTAAAACTGAAGGTTAAACCCTGTTGCGGGAAGTAACGCTTTTTACCGGCTTCATCGATCACGCCACGTCAAGGTTTTCTGACAGGAAGTGTTACCATTTACTTGTCACCGAACTGTATCCTTGATGTCACTTTCTGCCTATGGGTC